GTGGCCTGGGCAGCGCTTCCCGGGCTAAGAGGCACCCCCGAGCCCCCAGCACGGCAGGGAGCTCCTGCACCAACAGCCGGAGAGAGGGGAGCCCCACTGCCGCCGGGAGCCCCAAAGGCACGCGGCCCCTCGCCAGGATGCTCTCCGGCCCTGCCGATTTATTCCGGCCAAGGAACTCAGGGTGATGCTGGGGTTGTTCCGCCCCACGGCCTGGCTCATCAGAGTGCACATCGTTTAAATATCCCGCAATTCACCTGCAGTGGGGAAGAGCTAGCTCCTCGGTGAGGAGAATGCCCTACTCTGTCCACTTGTAGGAGCAATTCTCTCCTTCCCTCCGCCTCTAAAATATGCCAGGGAGACTTGCATTGATGCCAGGCTGCTTCTTCCACAGGGCTAAAGCTCAGCCCTTAGTGTGAAAATTTGGATAGAGATTAAAAAAAAAAACCAAACCCACAGTCAGTGGTACCCACCACATAGAGGGATTTTTGCTGACAGACACAGAGCCCCCCTCGACATTTCAGACCCAATCCCTGCTGTCGTGCTTCTCATTTCTAGGAGCAGAGCCCGTGCTTTTTGTACACCGAGCAGTTAGAGATGGGGTCTGCTCGAACACCACAGCCACACCGATGGGGTGAGCACGGACAGACCACCCGGGACAGGGATGGAGGTCAGAGGAAAAGACCAGGAAGGCTCTCCCCTCCCATCGCCATCACCACCTCTTGCTCTCATCCTAACGTTAATAAAACAGTAAGTACGTGGCCTCAGGCAGGTGTCATTTTCATAATTTATGAGTCTCTGGGACAGGAAGGGAGCTCCAGGCTTTATTGTGTTTGCACACATTTCGGCTGCCTGCGTGGTGCTCTGCAGGGCTCCGCATCCCGCAGCGGCGCGTCCTCCCCTTTGCCCACCCACGCCTCCCACCCCCGGGCGCCCATGATTAGGGGCACCTCTGCACACAGGGAGCAGGAGGGGACTGAACCCCCCCCTCCCTCATTTCCCCAAGTCATTAGAAAACTCTTCCCGCGTTGACACCGATATTAGCTCTCCGCAGCTACAGCCATGGCCCAGACTCCACCCGAGGGAGGGCAATGCGGGGCAGGATGCGAACCCCAGCCCTGTTTACCGGCGGCGCGCGGGGTAGGACGCAACAGCCGGCTCCAAGCACACAGCACGCCGAGGACAACACCGAGTCACTCACGTGCGAATGCGAGCGGCCACTCGCTTGCAGCCGCCTCGCCAAAGAGCGGGGCATTGTTTCCTTCACAGTTATTTATTTTTAGAGAGAAAAAGTCAGAGCTGCTCCTACAGCATGATTTACCCAGGTGGGGCTGTGCTGCCAACACCGGCAACGGGCA